ACTGAGGTCATTTCACTCAACAGATAATGTTAAAAAGGACAAAAGAAAAAGTTTTTGGCCCACAGTTGAGCCTCTGAGCAGTGACAAAGGGGTTTTTCCCTGTTTCCTTGTCACACCCTAATCCCATTCTGCAATTACAACAATGGAAAGAATCAGTTCACAATCAAAGGGGTTTTCATTGCCAACAAAAGAGGCACCTGAGACAGTTAAGGCTAATTTCTACCAGTCTAAAAAGAAAAAAAAAAGGTCTTTAAAGCCAGAAAGTCAAGTTTTGATCTCAGACATGAATTAATTCATTGGATCAGATTTAGTCCTTGAATTTGCTGCTGGAACTTCACCAATGACAAAGAAAACATTTGCTAAACTGGATTTTCACCCTCTTAAGTGCACCTGCCCATCTGAGAGCTGCACCTGGCTCAAAAGAAAGGCCAGGAACTGTACCAGTCATCCATGCGGGTTAATCCCTATGAATTACTTAAAACTGTACTGTAGTTAAAAATTTCAAGACTACTCCAAAGCCCATCAAAATCAGCTGGAGTTTTTCCTCTGGCATGTCACTGTGCTTGGGATCAGTCTCATTCTACAGAACACAGCCACTGTCAGGCCAGATACTGTTAACTGTCTAAGATTTTTACACTGACATGCCTAACAGTATCTTTTCTACTAACATGCCTTCTTTTCGATAACTCCAATTACACATTCAGTAATCTGAGTTCTGTTCTAAACTGGATTTACAGTCATGTGCAAACCAGTGCTCATGTGCTTTAATAAAAGGTGCGTAAACTATTGCAATAAACCATGACGAAGGTATCAGTAAGGGACTGGCTTGATTCTAAGCGAGTGGTTATCTTATCACCACTGACCACATCAGAAAATATTTTCAAGCTGCCAAAAATATCTCTACACTTAAATTGTTTCTTATTTGAAGCGCTTTAGCAGCTGTGTCCACACTCTGTTAAGGTGCCATCTCAGCCGTGGCTGGGATCACAGTTTGCTCCCAGATCTGCGTGTCCTCTCTCCGCACGGAGAGCTTCCAGCCAGCTGTACCCAGGACTGTGTTATCTGCCTGCCAGAGGGAATAACGATACGCTGAGCTCGGTGTGTTCTGGTGCACAGGGTTCCTGTGTGCTAGAGTCTTCTCAAGAGTTTTTTGCTCTCAAAATTAAGTCATGCCCAGCAGACCTGCATGCATCCACCTTTAATTAAGTAATGCGATTGATGCTGATGTGAAATTGAGGGCAAGACTGTCTGATTAAGTGCCCTTTGAAAGGCATTGAGCAAATTCAGCTACTGCCTTCAACACTGGCTGGAGGCACACAATTCCCTCATTGTTTTTCCCTGGGCTTTTTATCTAACCCCACGTTGCAGAATGGCATGCTCAAGAAATGAAAAAATTGAAGTTTCGTTACTACTCTGATTACACTAGAGGAGAAGTGATTTCATGTATTTGGGTCTTTTGAAATATTGCTGCATGCACAGAGGCTGGGTTAATGCTTCTGAAAGACTCTGGATCATACACTCACATCTTACTAGCTTAGGGTTTCGGTACTGACGCTACAGTCCTACAGCTCTAGCTTTGCTCTGTTCTCTGTGTAGCGTTAGTTCAAGCAGCTGTCAGGAAGGTGAATCCACTGAAAAAAGTGGAGTTAGAAAGCCATGACGTTACTATTAGTAACTGGTCTAGATGTTAGTCTAATGCCTACGTGTCTTACTGTGGCTTGGTGTTATTGCTTCTTTTCAGCATGGTAGGAATACTTTACATTATTATAGCAAGAAAACATTAATTACTGGAGGTGCTTTTTCTCATTTTCATGTAATGTTAATACATTTTTTGGAAGAAATCTATTCCCCAGATTGTCATCCTTTGTTTTCCGTTGTACTCGCGCTTTGTAAAACCTGTTGGTGAAGCCAGGCTCTAACCACCCTCCCGTCTGAACCTGTACACCCTCGTTAGGCCAAATACGAATTACGAATGCAACTGACAGCTCTAACTTAAGGCTTTATATTGTTTCCGTTTAAATCAATAGGATTTTAGCCACAAAACTGTGTGAAGACAAGCTATGATTCCTAAAGTCTGTTTTTTAAAAGTGCTGTCCTCTCATTGCTGTGTACTCTCATCTCCAGGTCATTTTGCAAAGAGCAGCATCTCTGGAGATCAAATACTACGGCTCAGTATACTACACACTTGTATAAAGCAATAATTGCCTCAGTGTTCACCCAGAGATGAGGATGTTTAGCATGTCTGAAAAAAGACCTTTTAAATGTGTAGTCACATAAAGGCTTAAAAAATCATCTGGTGCTTCTGCAAGTCCGACTAAGCCCTTAATGTCTGCCTAAATCTGACCTTTCTGCTTCCATTTTAAGCACTGAGGTCTGAAAGTTTTTGACTAGGAAAGTGGTTTAGTTTGCAACAGGGATAAACTTTATGAAATCTAATTTAAGTCATACTTACAAAATTCTTTGAATTCATGGATGGTGCCCAAGAACATAAGGTATTATCATGAGAAATCACATTTTGATTCATCTTCAGGGTGTTATAATCTCAGCTACACCAGCCTCTATTGGCTCATTAGAAAAGGAGAGAGGATTTGCATTTTAAAAAGCAGGTTTTAAGAAAGGGCCCAGCCACCTACATGGGGTTTCAGATAAATAAAAAACCATTTCCACTATGAAGTCACACTGTGCCTGTTAAAAAGATGCAGACATTAAGAAAAAAGTGATCCCTTAGCAAACACACTTAAGCATTAGCATTGTAGATATGTTGATGCTTATTGCTCTGGAGTTGGTTGGAATTTAACAGGCTTCTAATAGCATCATTTTGGAAATGCTTCTGCTTGAAGGAATGGTTATGTGTGTACATTTCTCTGTATAGCTCTCAGCTCATGTACAAAAATTAAACAGCATATTAACAGTGTCACCTGAATAGTGATTCCTGGCGGGAATGAGGCTGTACCATCCCTGCACTTAGCTCCTCCACACAAAGCTTGAATAAACACACGACAGTTTTATGTTCCCCCTGCTTGCATTCATGCACTGACAGACCTGTGCAAAAAGGAGAACGGCAGTTCTGCCTCAAGCCCCCATGTATGCAGATTTAGAAGAAGCTGTCCCGCTCCTCTCATCAACAGCAGTGGGTTCCAGGCAGCCGTGATCCAGACCCCACAGGTTTTCACAGATCAACACCCAACATAAGAACTGCCCCGCAGACACTACAGACCTTCAGCGTTTCACATAAAGCACGTCTCAGGCTGCTGCACTCCCCATCAGCTTAATTCTCAGAGCTGCCCTCAAACACCAGCTCACCCATGCTTCCCATTTCAGCATCTCAGGCATGGGTAACCTTTGAAGCCTGGCGGAGGGCAGGAGCAGTCCCGCTTTTCTGGCTAAATGCGCAGGCCAGCACAGCCAGGTTTTGTGCTTGGCCCGATTTTTCAAACTGGAATCACTCTGTATTGAAATAAAACTATTACTCATCTCCAAGAAAGGGTTGCGTCCTTCTGCTGTAGCCAGAGAAAGGCTGGAACATCTGAAAAGGTCAGCATCAAGTCAGTAATAAAATGGAAAGTTCAATATCATGTGGCATTTAGGTTTCATTTAAGCTTTTGGAGGTCTCTTCTGGGGCAGGTCGGAACAATCCTTCCACATACAAACAATTAGTCTATTGTTAGGGCTTAATTTTGAATCTAATATCCATATAGTTCATTATCATGTTACACATGTGTTACAGTAGCACATTGATTATTGTACAGCTTTAAACACAAGACATAGTCCCTACTTCATATTATCTGTAAGGAAATGGTGAACATGGTTTAGATCCTAAAAATAAAAAAGAGAAAAATGGTTATCTGCTCATGAATGACAAATTCATTAGTGCATTCATTCTAGTCTGAAACCTTTTGTCTTTTTAAAGCATACCATGTAGTTCCCAAATTCAGAGCAATCACCCCCGCTTCCTCTCCTCTTAGCATCACGTTGCAAAATAAACAGGACTGGATTAATTGGAACCTGATCGATTTTTTTTTTTTTCCAAATGGCAATGCAGTATCTTTTTTCTTTAAGTGTGATAAAACCCTCTAAAAGATGCAACTCTGCATCAACAAAATTAAGGAATACACTACATACATTAAATAAAGGTGGGTTGAGTCCAGAGTCATTTGCTTCTTCAGTTCAACTTTAGCTGGCAGGGGGGACGGCTGGGGGACAGGTCTTTAAGCAATGCCATCTACACCCTGTGCCCTCCTCAGATCTGCCGAGATTCACAGTAAGAAAAGCAACAGCAGTGGTGGGAAGAATAACGAAGCAATAGTCATACTTCAGATTGTTCTCCGTAAAAATCCATGGGGTTGGTACAACTGTCCCATGCTGATGTGGTCTATAGGTGACATACATGTATACATACGAGTGAGCGATGTCAGTTTTCATCCGCTGGAAGCTTATACCTGTAGCAGCCGGTGCTTTGTTCAACAAGGCAGGGGACTGCTAATGTAAGACTAAGTTCTTCTTTCTTCATTCAGCAATTAACCAGATTGCTGCTGTGTCTGTTTGATTTAATTTTACAATCCTCAGAGGTTTTAAAGAGCTGCTGTCTGAAGCACCTGCTTCTGAAATATTCACGTGTATTTTTTGCTTTTATTTTTTTCTCCATACTTTTCCATTCTTTGCAGTACCACAGTTCTCCGTGCTCCTGATTTTCTTAAATTTTCCTTAGAGGCAAAAGTTACAGTGATCCTGACGCAGTTTGGGCACAGCCACAAATAGTCTGTTTGTCCTTCCTCTCTCTGTCTCATCGTTAGAAAAGCGTCATTGTGCACACAGTTCTGTCGATTTCAGTGGATGAATCCAGTTCATCCATCACGTTAGGCAGTCAAAAAACCCAAAAAAAAAAAAAAAAACTCAAACAAAAGAAATTGTCTAAATCCCAAACAGGCATCTTTGGAATCAGTAGTGCAAAATGTTTGCGGCTTTATTTTCCTTGACCTACTGCAATAATCTCTTAATCTTCAAGTCTTTCCTAAAATAGTGGATCTGTAAATGTAAAACATAGAGCAATAAAAAAACTACAAATATAAATGCAGGTTGGGTTTGTTTTTTTTTTTCAAATCACTGTCTTCAGCAGAGGGTATTCTTTAAATGGTGGATAATTTGAGATTACGATTAGCTTTTATCAGTGCAGCCTCAGCTCTGTAGATTACATCTTAAATGGAAACGACCTCCATCAGAGGTCACACTTTAAATGCCAGCACTTCACCAGCTTTGACTACCAGTGCAGCATTGTGGAGGTACTTTGGAGATGAGCTGATAAAATGAGTGGTTACCTTAAGGATTTCCACCTGTCTTTCTCCGTCTGGTTTTCTGGACTTTCACTTTCATAGGAAGCCAGATACAAACCTGGAAAAGGTTAATACACGTTATTCCTACAGCACCAGTAACCCCCTATGTCTATGCATTCTAGGATGTCCTATGTAGTACTACGCTGCAGGAGGAACTTTTTAAAACTTCATGGTCCACCAGGTAGCTGGTAATCAGTTGGACACTGACATTTAGCTCACCTTTGGAAAGCTGTTAGGTTAATTTTGATGGAGCAGTAAAGGAGCCCAGAGTTAAAATTCGTTGTCATGATTTTCTTATAACAACATCAAGCAGTCAAATGGTCTCTGGTTTTGCATCTGAAGATCTGAGCCTATTTACTCCATCACAGCACTGCTACCAAAATGTTATACAAACATTAAACAAAGAGAGACAGTGAGAGCTGACAGCTAAACAAATGAACTTTTAAAAATTAAGGACATTCCTATCACTTAACACAACTTCGTCTTCCTCAATCTTTTTAAAGCTTATGGGTACGTGGTGTCTCAGATGGATACAACACACCCTCAAGGTGAGAATGAGTTACAGAAATCAGAGAAGGAACACAGCAGAAGAAAATAAACAAGTATTTTTTTTTTTTCTGCAAAACATTGCACTGTAGGATGCATTTCCTGACACCACAATGTGTCTAGGCTCTAGAGTCTCCTCTGCAAAAGCTGGCGATGCATTAATATCTCACTGTCTTCACAGGTTTTTTTTTAAGTAGGCTGTGATTTGCGTTCACACACATTTCCTCATTTGACTATTTAGAGGTGCGTTATTCTTTAATGCTGGCACCAGCTCAGTCTGTGCCACAATTCAACTGCATTTTCATATCCAGGCATTGGCCCACCCTTCTGCCATGCTGACAGGCGCCGCACAGCTGCATTTCACATACCACGGCTGCATCTCTGCAGTGTATTTCCCCACCTTTTACTCAGGGCAGGTCTTTCTGCTCTGTGCTTCCCCTGGGCACCAGGGAGCCCTGCTGGGGCTTCTGCAAAGAGCATCTCATGAAAGCAGTATGAACATGGGGGGGGGGCATGAGAGAGAAAATCTGCAAACAATTAGTGGGTTGAGGTCACGCTTTTTTGGTCCAGCAGACTGAAAACTGTACTTTCACCCCCGACTTTCACTTTCTGTCCCTTTAGAGGCTAAAACCAGAAGAAATGCCTCCATCCTATCTCCTTTCATTATGTATGACTTTAATCACATTAATTATTCCATTTTGGCAGTCATTCTTCTTGCGATGTAGGCAGGATTTTTGAAGCAGTATTTTGTGTTCTGAAGTAGTCTGTGAAATAAAAACTGTCTGCTCTGATTAACTTGGATTAGTCCAGAAAACTGCCTACAGAATCAAGAAAAAAATAAACCCAACAGCAGTATAGCTTATGGGAATGTGGCTTTAGACAATTCTGTTTGTGACAATGTACCAAGAGGCAACTGACACAGACCAGTATGAAATGACAGGGTCTGACATGCTGGATACCGAACCGAGGACAGATAAGTATAAAAAGACAATCAGAGAAATAATGTCAGAACAGGGCTTTCAAAGCTACAGCTTAAATTAATTACTGGAAAAGATTTTCTTGAAAATTCTTTTCTGTAGATAACCTATTTCTTTGCTGTAGTGGAGGAGGTCGGGGGACTACCATCGCCCTGGGCTGTGCTCGCTGAAGAGCTGACAGTGTTCGTTTGTGGAAGAGATGAGTTCTGGCTCCATCAATCACAGAGTGAGTGGCAAAGGGACAGGTGACATTCACAGGGGTCCACAACATGGCTGTGTGGGCTCTTCTTGTGGTTACAAAAATAGGGCCACGATAGCAACTTCCTAGACAGTGCCTTGTAGAGAAGGTATGGACAAGAGAAAAGCGATCGGGCAGCAGCATGATGAGCTAGAAGGTTCTATCTGCAAAAACACGTTAACAGATGGGATAAACAAGCTGTGGGACAGGAAAGCTGGGAAAGAACCGGGACAGGTCAGTGAGAGATCACCAAAGCAGGGATCAGGGTGTTATGACAAAGGGACATGTTGTCAGTGATTGGAGATTGTACAGAGTCTTACCATCTTCAGTAAAAATGGGAGCAGTGTGCAAGTAGTGGATGATGTTAGGGTCTTGTTCAAAGGGACATTCCACTTGCTTCCACGTTATAAATTCTCCTACTTGCTTAGCCAGTTCCAGAAATTTCTGTAAACAGAAAACCATTCCACTCAGATACGGTAAAATTATCTCACTAAAACAACCACATCCAAGCACAACACCAGGATCCACGATGCGTCGTGCCAACAACAAGGACATTAGGAAAAAAGAGCCTTGTATGCTGTAGATGGGTAAATTTTCACAGTTCATTTACAGGGTGTGTTTCTTCTTCTGCCCAGTGCAGAACACCTGGGTGCCTGCACACTGCTGCTAGCAACGAGTTGTACTGGTGTAAAATCATCCACTCCAGGACAGAACTGGGGTTACTCAGAATATGACTAATATTACCTATGCCAGGGCTGTGGGGGAATATAAATCCTTCTGCATTTAATAGAAATTCTTCTGTGTAAAACCTACAGGAGATAACACATTTGAATCCTTATATCAGCAGCATGACATTTACCCCACGGACACAGTGACTCTGTACTCTAGATGTATTCTAATTTTTCTCTAATGGCCAAAAGTAATTAACACTTTGCCAAACCTCTTTATTAAAAATGATAAAGGGCTAAAAAGGCAGATAAAGTATAAAGCATTTTATACTGACTTCTATCTTTGTGTGTATGTGCGCACAGGAAAAATAGTTTTCCATGTTTTCTGAAAAAGTCATCTTGCCCTCCAAGCCATAAGTATAATCATTTATACTGCTGACACTGTATTTCTAGCAGCCAACTGACATTTAGGAAGTTAGGATGATCTGCTTGGAATGTTTATATAAAATATACATATTCTTTTAAAAAGCATTCTGGGATTGGTTGAACCTTCATGAGGTCACTTGAGATCATCCATTTTGGCACATTCGGTCTTTGTTGGTCTGCACTGAAATTGCAGGCAAATGGTCCCAGATAGTGCTATCAGAACAGGGAGATAAAAACATTTTTCAGATCTTACTTCAAAGTTGACATGTCCATTTGGAAGGCGATTAGCACATCCTTCATTCAAAAAATAAATGTCTTTGATCAATAGGCTGAAGAAGGGGATCACAATCTGTGAAGAGAAATGACATAACTATTATCTTTCCAGTTCAGTATTTTCGCGGCATGCAAGAAGAACTCAATCAGGAGAGAGGAGAACAAAGAAATATGAACGTTCCAGTGTGCTATGCACTTAAAAAGCAGTACGGTGAGAGGCAAGAAAAAGGGCAGTAGGGTATCGAGACCCCTTCAGCCACCAGGAGAACGTACACTGGAATGAGTATGAACTGAACACAGTGTTCACTGGGCAGAAAAACGTTGACTAAGAAAACGCTAATAACCCAGTTTATTATCAACAGCATCGCTGCCTGATGACAAGATCAGACAGAAAAGAGCAAAATAACATTGCAGAATTCCTCCTCTCTCTGTTGGGTCTTTGTAAGCAAAGGTGTTGAATCCACAAGTGGAGCAATTTAAAGACAGCCAGGAACCAAAGAACCAGCATTGTCCCTGAACAAGGAAAGACAGGATAAAATTTGATGACCAAGGGCTTGTCTACCAACAGTTCATCAAGGACTGTTTCATTTTCAGCAGCTCCATGCATGGCTACCTCGTGAGACTGTAATTTCCTTCCTGGTGCCTGATTAGTGCAACCTGATTCTCCAAATTAACCTGCAGACAGTAGGATTTAAAATATTAAGTCAGTTGACAGGAAACCGCCAACAGTAGCTCAAAAATAAGCCCTGAGCATCATCCAGGACAAAGTGGCATGTAGCAGTGATCCAAGCCTTCTCTCTAAACCATCAGAGTCAGGTCATAATTTGCTGTAGAAAAAGTCTATTTCTAGCAAAGACTCTTGAAATTAATGGAATTACAGCAGGGGTAAATTTGCTGCCAGCTGTTCTGTGGCAGAAAGCAGCAGCAGCGCTCCTGAAGAGCATCCCCAGCGCTTCAGCAGAGACCCAGGGTGCAGCAGGCTCCCTCCAGGTCCTCGTGTCACAACTCAAAGGGAAAAGAAAGATAACAGAAAGGACCAGCCCATGACAAAGCTGAACCCCCCCCTCCAGGGCTCTGGGATTCAATATTCAAATCAGAGTCTGGCCACCTCTCCAGCACTGGCACTGGGACAGAAAAAGGCGACTCGGAGCGTTTGATCTGTAAGGTCAGCAGCCACCTCTGTGAGCATTTTCCTGCAGCAGCAACACCTGTCTTTTAAGCTGCTCAGTATAAATTTAATCACCATGAAACTTAAAGGAAAGCACATCACATGGTGGAGTGTCCAAATGCTTCCCCTGGCCTATTTGTAAATGAACTGAGCTGTAGGCTGTTAAGTGAGCACTGAGTTCTGCCTGCACAGCACGCGAGAAGTGAGCACTGAGTTCTGCCTGCACGGCACGCGAGAGCAGCCGAGGGAGCCGGCGACACCGCAGCAATCCTTCAGCTAAGTATTTAATGTCGTACTGTTATTCCATCTCACGCAGTACAGCGGCTGTAACGGGATACGAAACGGACCCAGAACAGGATCAGCAGCTGTTATTTTCCAGTCTCCAGCCTTCACGATGCAAGCAAGTCATAGACGCGAAAACACGTACTGAGGCAAGCCGCTACCGACTCTTGCTGTGACAACAGAAGCCAATTTCTGTTTCAGCTAAAATACCACCCGCAGCAAACTGCTAAAGATCTGCGTCTCTGCTGGCTTTTTTTATGGGACAGCCATAGATAAAACTCTGTAATGTCAGTGCAATAGCCATAAAAAAGCCTGAACTGACACTCCAAAGGCCATGGGCATTATCCTGACACATCTCACCGGTATAATATAGGAATGGCACCAAAGCACAGCCTGACCCCACAAAATGCTGGGCCCTCCTGTCAGGGTGAGCTGGAGCAATCTCTACTCAAACTGCGCTAAGTGTGTTTCAGGATTCGTTTTTATATCACCCAAACTAGATCAATCAACCAGAGATAAAGAATTAAATTCACTGTATGTGGTTTGTTTTCTACCAAAAATGATGTTAACCCTGTACCCCGTGTGGTCTCATGAGGTGGCAAGATACAGAGAGCTGGAGCCAGACACTGCTCCCCAGCTAGAAATTACTGCCAGCTTCTGGCTACATATTTTTCACAGGCAGATGTGAGCTTGTTCTGCCCTGCTCCACACTGCCTGGGAGCTAGGTCACCATCATTAGTGGTACTAAACATAAATGAAAAGCCTTGCTGAGAGGGAAGGTGTATGAACGTGGGCTCAATGCCATGCTAACACAGCTACGGAGCCACCAGCCAGCTCAGAGCATGGGCAGAGCGCATTCTCATCTGCATCCAAAAGGCATCAAAGGCATACCCTAGGATACCAATTCTCTACACATTTCCAGGGGATTTCTGTCTTTGGGTCACCATTTATTTCCCCAATAAAAATATGTTACCCTGTATGTTTTGTTTTCCAAATTTCTGGAGGAAAAGCAACAAAAGTGGATAGAGTTACACTCTAACGTTGGCTTCAATCCAGGCACTTTGCTAGCATAAAATCTGGGTTAGTGCCAGAAACTTGTATTTCATTCCCTTTTGATTCCCCCCCGTGCCATCCAACCCACCCACACGCTGAAGGACAATTGCCTCCTGCAGAAAGAAGAAAGCTAATGAGACCAGACGTGTTCTTCCTCCGTAGTATCAGATGGCAACACCATGCGGGACCGCACTGTACATCCTCCCAGCATTTCAAAGCCAGAGACATGCCATTAGCGCAATGCAGGGTTTCCCAGGGGAATGACTTAATTTGGGAGGTGGCATAGGTCGGCTGACTGCATAGATAAAACCAGACTTAGTTCCTAAAGTACACCCCTCTGAATTCTGCATGAAACATCAGCCCTTCCTCATTACCCGCTCCCTCACCCTGCACTTTGCTGGGCTTATTTCTGCCGCTGTTCTGCATCTCGCAGCTTCGAGAGCTGCCTTGCTGTGCCCTGTTACAAGCCTGCTCCCGAACAAGTAATGAGTAGTTCTAACTAGCACTTTACACACTGAGAGAAGGGCTGGATTAGAACAGTGAGGACTAAGGTCAGGGGATGGGTATACTGAAATTCTTTGCCTACAAGCTGTGCTGCAGTCTCGCACGAGCACCCTGAGGATGAGGATGGAGCAGGGGATGAAGGGCAGTGGTCTTTGTGCCAGAAGACCGGTGTCATACGGGGAATTTGGGCGAGATGCGGGCACACAGAGGAGGAGGGGTGTGCCCCCAGTCACCAGCTCACCCTCTCCCCCTCTGAGGATATAACTTGGCCCCTGAGCTGTGACTCAAGTGCTGGGCAAAACTCAGCAGCCAAGACACCAGCCCCGAGGAGAGAAGAAAGCAATGTTTCTGGTGAGTCTGCCAGTTAAACATGAGCTCCTCGGAGCCTACGGGCAGTTTTTCTTCCTGCCAGACACAACCCACTGCTCAGTCTGTTGGGCTGTGCCATGAGCTCCCTCAGAGCACCCTCCTCCTCAGGCAGATGGACTGAGGCTGAAGCCTCCATCTGTGCTTCTGGGGTGGCCACTGGGCGAGAAGAGGGGTGCAGGGGATTGGGATCCAAACTCTTGTAAGCGCAATTCAGTCTGAAGGTAAAAATTTCCTTCAGAGTGAGCTTTGCTACAAGCTTGCCAAGCAACAAAGACACATTTTCTATCAAAAAAGTGATAATGTTCTTTCAATTTTATTCAAACTCATTAAAACAAATAACTGATAATCTTACTTATAAAAAGAAACAAAATTCCTTAATTCCTACAGCAAGAATTACATGACCTGCTGTATGTGACACTGGAGAATACTCAGTGCGAGGAGCTACCAAATCATACGCTTGAGCATTTTCCTGAACTAATGCTATCTACACTATTTTCTTATGTAAAATAGATTCCTTCCAGTCTAATAACCTCGCTGCCCTGAGTCTTAACCAGCTAGGGGTAGAGATATGACAGAGATTGCTAACTTCCACAGGAAATTAAGTCAAACAATAAAGCAACTGGGTTGAATATATGAGATGGTCGCAAGAAGAACTAAACTGCAGAAGCATCTCACACTGACAGGTCCTAGCTGCGGTGTGTGAGAGTTAAAAGGATTTCTCTGCCAGCCACAAACATCCAAAGCCATCATCTCTTCTTTGCACAGAGAAGTGCTTTTCAGAGCAGCTCGAGGTACTCCCATTGCAGCTGAGTCAGCCTGCGACCAGATGCTGATCTCATTTCCCTGCAAATGTGGTGAGATTCCATTAGCTTCAGCAGATTTACATCAAATTTACAGGGATGTGAGATTAGCATCTGGCCTGGCTCCTCTAGTGAATTATTACTAAATTCCATATTCTGCTTGTTCACGCAGTATCCACCTTAGCCGTGCTCTGCACAGAGATTATCTATTTACGACTATGTGCAATCGCAATGTTAAAACCAAACCCTCTTCTATAAAAAAAAAAAAGAGAACTGAATGGAGAAATAAGAAAATTATCAAGAAACACACTGGGGCACAAAAGAGGAGGATCCTGCACTAACATCTTGTCAGTCTGATTTTTGCAGCATCAATCTTGGAAAGCTACATATCTGCCAAGAACACTGATAAAATCCTGCAATTCTTGCTCACCGAGATGGCTGGAACAACCAAATGAGATGAAAATTCATGAGGACAGAATTTCACCCCAAATTTGCTGCAATGGATTCAGACCAGACTTTTTGGCAGGACTTGTGGTAAGCCATTTTTCCCTAATATAAGTGGAGAACCGCCTCATCTCCGAGCGCTGTGCCATTTGCTCTCGCTCTCAACCACGCACGGCACAACAGGGATGTGTCGGCCTCAAGCCTGGCTGGCACAGCTGTGACAAAAGCACAGTTCCACCTGGGCCTGCGAGGGTGATGCTCCATACCAAAATGAAAGTAATTTTAGGCTGGAATACTTTTTCCATCAAGTTTATCAATCTAAACAATGTGAATTTTCCAGAGATCTAGAGATGCTTGCACCAAAGTCCTCCATGCTGCATGTCCTGCCCTCTCGAGCTCCCCAACATCTGTGAGCAAGTCCACCAAAGCCCTGTGATCCATTTCTGACTCCTTTCAGCCCCAGATTCACATTTCCAATCACATTTAGCAGTGCACAAGCCTTGCACTGGTGACCTATGGAAGGGAGGAGAGCATTTGCATCAAGTCTTTGAGCCCCAAACTCAGCACAACGCACAGCGTCCACCTGGAGATGAATGAGGTGTGGTGACACCCACCTTCTCCCTGTTGCTGTGGGCAGTGAGGGATCTGTGAGCAGCCCCCCGCAATGCTGTTCTGTAGTTGTAGAAGTTACCAGTAGGGTCCATCTGGTGCTGGATACACAAAAGAAGACATGTTGGTTAGAAAGTGAACTGGGTCCTCTGAAGACAACTTTACCCTCAGCTGTAGCAAACCCTAGCCCACATCTTCAAAAATACACACACACACAAAACCCCCTAAACCGCAGGTACAATGAGAGATCTACAGACCGTGGCTGTTTGAACCTTTGATTTTTCTGTTAACAGCTTACTGAGCTTTCATGTGAAGAATCAGGACTGCACGTTTTATATACGCCAAATCCTGGTATCCTCAATACAAAAAACAACCTTGGACCTTGTGCACTCTACGCCCAAAGTACAGCTTGGGAGCTTTACACCCAGCGTTGTGTCCGTGGCCAAACAACACTGGCATCAGTGAAAGTGCTATAGGCTCTTTTTTTTACCCCCCCCCCCCCCCCCCCCCGCCATTTATTTGAGTGCTCTGGTTCCCCTCTATGTGTCAGCAGCTTCACACTTTCGTCATTACACCTGGGAAGCTTCAGCCAGAATCTGGCCCTCTGCCTGGGAAACGTGTCTGCAAACATCTCAAACATTCACAAATAAAAAAAAAATCCATAATATAACTCAAGCGGGGTATCAGCACTTTTTTTTTCTTACCTCAAGAATGAAAAATTTGGCTGTTTTCACTTTCGACCAAGTCTTCTTTAGCCTGGAAACTGGACTCATGTTCATTCCAGCTGTGAATGGGAAAGAATTAAAGAGAGCCATGGATGAGAGTCAGGTTTCCTTTTTTACCTGTGACAGCTGATGGAGAGGTCTGGTTAGAAGCTGTACTTACAAATGATTGCCATCAGCGAATTAAAATTCCCTATGTTAAAGCACTCTCGGGCAACGTCAATGAAGAATTCGATGACTTGTGCTCGCTGCTTCTTTTTTGCAGGCTGCAAATTAAAATAAACGAATATCTGTAATAAGCATATACGGAACTGGAGGACATTGTAGGTATTTGTTCCATGTACAGTAGGGGTCCACGCACAGTTTGCACCATCTGCTGTCAGTCACTGGCCCTAATCCTGTTCCAGCAATCCAGCGGATGCTGGTGACAGGCAGTCTCTAAAATCAAAGCTTTCCTTGCAGTGACACAGAAGAAATTCCCGGCAATTCCCAAGCTCACCTCTGTAAATGTCTCAGGGCTGGAACAGCCCAAAGAGCCCCGCGGCAGCACCTCAGCTCCCTGCTGACCCCCCGCAAGCACATCAGCCCTACAGGCAGGAATCACACTCATGTAACAGCAGCATCTTTGTCCCAGAAAGACTTTGTTTCACTTCATTAATCCCTTTCCCCTCTTCTGGGCCTTTCAGCGATGTGGCCAGGGCAAACGGTAGCTTGCATTTTAAATCCTCATTTTATCTGGACTGGAGTCACTGCACCTCTCCCAAGGATGATCATCAAACGGTAACACTCTTGAGTCACAGGCTGTCTAAGCTGTTTATACCATTACTATTCTGCCCTTCCACACCCTTTTCAAAGGAGAAAATATTCATTTCATTGTGATGGGGCCAAGTTAAACAAACTAAAACCACCAGTCACGGCTGCAGCAACTGGCAGCAGGACAAAGAGCCACGCAAGGGGAATTCACACGCACAACAGAGCTTTAGGATGACAGAAAACAAATACTGCTCCACTAAAATATCTTTCAGCAGAGATCTCACAGGATAATTCAAGGCATTTTTTCCTCTCTTTTTCCCTGCAGGGTTCATTATTCCACGCTGTACTCCTACTACATCAAGAGAACAGCGGATCCCCTGTGTGTCGCCAGCTCTGTTTTGCAATATGTTTGTCATTTATCAGGTTGCTTCTGCAAGTGCAATATTACTAAAACTTACCGTCAGATGCTTAGCTGGGTCATAAGAAATAAATCCCCAGGTTTGCTTATTAATGTATGATCTCAAACTGCTACTTCAGGCATGTGGTAAAACGTGCCCCCTACTTTTCACTTACCATGCAAATTTCTGTTGCTACGAGATAGCAGAGTCTATTGAACCATTTCACATAGGCCTCAAGGTTACTCGTCTTCTTCTGCTCACTGAAACAAGTCTGGGGAGAAAAAAAAGCACAGAAAGACATATCACTGTGTTTCAGTTAACCGCCTGATTGCTAAGATACATACTACACAGAGGTAATTACTCGGCCACGTCTCCCTCGTGCACATGGACAATTCACACCAGTGTATAGAAACCAGCCCCGTTTTGCCTGAGCAAGTGTTCACCAACACAGTCTGCACTGACCCTCGTTCCCTGGGATGTTAACAGCTGGGGCACTGCAGGATTCACACACCAACAATATGCAGAAGGAGTCAGACCAGCTCAGTCCTCCCCAGCACGCTCAGTTTGTGCCTTTCATTCCAGGGCTTTCTTCACTCTACTAAATGCAATCACCCACAGCCCTTTTCTGGAGGGGAGAGACCGTAATTTAGGGAAGTGAACAAGAGATAAGCAAAAGAAAACATAGTTCTAGTTTCTTCTTTATGGAAAAAAAAAATATTCCCATATGGAGTTTTCAGGATAATAGGCTCTCTAGTGACCAGCTCTGTCTTGATGGCTGCTCTTGAACAGGTCACTTACATGCCAGAGATACTTCACTGATAAGAGCCCTTACAAGAAGCTTTCTTAATATGAAACTTAACATAAATTCCCATAACCGATGCAGGCTGTGGGAGCAGATACTTGGCTGAACTCTTCCAGTTCCTTCAACACCAATGGATAATTTGACTTCAGCAGAGCGATAGGGCAATTCACACAGCCTGAAGATGTTGCTTGGGATTATAAGAATTCCAGTCTTTTTCCCAGCCCTAAATTCTTAGACTGTCCATCTAAGACACACTGCTCCCTAGAGTTCACCTGATTTATTTGAACATTCATTAACCTCCACTAGAGGGTATCAGAGAATACTGATTTTTTGTTTGATTAAGATAATTTCCCAGAGTTGTCATAAATACATACCTCTTAGAGAAAATCACAATGCACAAACACAGAGAGAAAATCACAATGCACAAACACAGATCCATTGCTGTCAACGGGGCTACCCATATTATATAAGCTAAACTATTTAACTTAAAACCCCTTAAAACATGGGGCTTAATTTGATTCCTAAGGTAATTAAGAGTAAGAAAATATTCACCTGTATATAAGTGTGTTTAGAAACAGAAATCACAGTACCATGGTGCACATCTTGAGCAGTCCACATATACAATAAATATATATATTTTAAAAGCATCTGAAAGGTAAATGTCAGCAAGCAGCATGTAATTATCAAACAAAACAAAGGAAACCCAAAGCAGCCTCTGTATATCCACAGCAGTTGCTTTTCTTGCACTCTGTGCTATTGTTCCTTGTTACAGCAAAAAACTGCATGAAACCTGGTTTTGTTCTGAACGCGGTATTTCCATCTCAACACCGCTGCCCCGTGCCAGGGCGTAGGAACCACAGCTAATACCACAAAACTTGTGAAAAATGCGCAGCAGTTAAAGTTGAAACAGACTGCTTTTTAAAGGTTAAGCTTTATAAATGGCAACAACATTTAGCACCTCCCCAGCATCTTCCATCTGCAACTCAAAGTGCTCAATAAACATTCATCAGTGCAGCCTTTTGAAGCCCTCATGCAAGAAAGATGTTTCATATGAGCTCCAGCTGGAGGGAATTCAGACCAGAGCCACTTCCCTGTGATGACCAGGGGTGCTGCCCATGGGGTGGGGAATGATCTGACCGTCCACGTAAGGTTTGTGCTGTACAATGTTCTGCCAGGTCCCACTCGATGCCTCGGCTCTACCTCACCCTGGTGTGGAGGCTCTTCAAAATCATCACTGGGACCTCTGGGTCAGCCCAGGGAAAGGGTGGAGAAAAGCTGCAGTCTACCTCTGTTTCCATCAGCCTCACTAACTTGAAGCCTGATAATTTGTTAGTGCCCTGTCTTGTATGAAAATGTTACGGTAGTTTTTGCTTTAACTGAGTAGATCCTCCTCAGGGAGGCCACTGCCTTGAAGTTAAAAGGCAACGCAGTTGTACATCCTTGCTTTGCACCTTTATTTTCTCTGTTATTGTGCACTTCACTGAAGTCACAGAGCTGTTCCTGGGCAGCACCTCGGTGTTCAGATTTGCATGTGAAGAACACACACAACTGTCAAATAGCTTGTCATAGTCTGTCAAGATGATTTGCTCAGATTTCCCATCCCACCATTATTTTCAGGCTCTCCACCTCTCATTCTAATCCTTCCCATCCTTAACCAATGTTTCCTTATGTTTACCTTGTAATCTCAATTTCTCTTCACATCCTGGTGGTATTTTGCGCCAGCCCTGCGACAGCCCCCCATACAGCTGTTCTGCATACATTAGCTTATTATGGAACATTTCCTTCTTCCTTTTAGCGTCCCTTCCCCTCTATGGCTTTATGCAATTTGATTGCACTCACTGCTGCCTTCCTCCCACTCTTCCAAAATTCACACAAATTTAGTGCCCTCATTCAACCTCTTTCAATTTGACTTCACAACAGATATGAGGACTGCTCATCTTCAGTCTTGTCCCTCATGTTTGCAGCACGTTGCTGAAATCTCACTGTGGCTGGTTTGGTATTTCATGTTTCTGACACATCTTTGCTACCTTGGGGTTCCTTCCTGCAGGATGTGGATCAATACTCAGAATACTCGAAATACTATCTCTGCTCACTCCCCTCTCCCTCAAACCAACTGCAGAATCTCCATAACTCCAATAAGAGAAGGAAAGAGCCCAATCACACTTTTTCATCCATCCATCCATCCATCCATCCATCCATCCATCTTTTCACCATTACAAGCTACTCTGGTGCTCTTTGGGCAGCACTATAAACAGAAGTCTTCCTGTTAACGTTCAGCATCCAATGCTGAAATCCTGCCATTGATGTATGAGCTCAGTGGGAGCCCATGTGCAGTTCTGGGGAAGAATTTTCCACCCTCTTTCTTTTCTGGCAGTATGTGACATCTCCAACTCTTCCTCTCCAGCCAGGAAGTCTCTTTCTTTATTGAGACACTCATTGAAATGCTGCTTCAAACCCCACTGGAACCAGTGGAAAGACTCCAACTGGCTTCTACGGACTTTGGATGAAGCCCTGATCAGACGCTCCATTCCCTGCGGTGCTTTGGGTTAACAGCTATGTGCAGAGAGAGGAGTCTGTTGACTCATGACGCACTGACTCATTACGTTGGTGTCTGGGCACACACTATGGGCATTACATCACGTCCAGAGTCTTTATACCTTCAACGCTGGGAACAGCCATTTCCTGGTTGAGTACAGCCACGAGCCATCTGTCCTGGCCAAAGGAGGGCAGGAGGAACCAGCCAGAACGCAGAACATCCAGGTGCTGGCCAGTCTTACGCTGGGATGTACTCTCACCAGGAAGGAACAGTGATGACCTGCCAGCATGAGCTCCACCAACAGGTCCCATCCTTGCTGTGAGAATACAGGTCATCAGGTGTCCTGGCCCTGGTCAACACATGCCCCAGGCCCTGCTCTTACGGATCTCATCACATCAGTTCATCTAGAACAAACAGTGATCGCAGGAGACACTTTGCAGACAGACAAACCATACCTTGGTGCCATCCAGGGGGTCTTTATGTACAAATGCCTGCACAAACTCCTCAGGTCCAATGTGACTTAGTCTTTCCTATTAGAGGGAGGAAAAAAGAGAGAGAGAGGAAGAAATAAGAAAGCACCCCAGAATCTCTGCTGTTTCTCTTGGTAAGATGTCCCCATTATCTGCCAGCTCTGAATGGTGTTACTGAACTGGTAGACAGCCAGCTAGCACCAGACATTAAAATTCATAAGAACAATTAGAGTTATTTCATCAGAAAGAAGAAAACGAGAATAAATATGTCTCATTACTGACAAGCCACAGCAGGAGCCCTCTCCACTGCTCAGACAGAAAGGTGCTGGATGCACAAGGCCCCATCTGCGAGCCAGCAGACCTCAGCTCTGGGCTTGGTGCTGCCACAGACCTGCTGTGGTCCAGCATAGCTCAACAGCCTTGTTTCCCAGATCTTAAATTGGCAATAATGCTGGATCATAGCGTTCCGCTGATCATTTGTACACACCGTGCTCCGACCCCACCTCCCCACCCAGGGAAGCTCAGGTGATGCCCGGGGTGGTGGCTCTGTGCCACTGAGGAAGGCATTGAAGGTGCGCAGGTGCCTACATTAAAGGCATTGCTTAACGCTGTAGAGTGTCCCAGGCATTACCCAAAACACGAGTAAATAATGCATCCAGATCTCTCTAGTAAAGGACAGTCCATCTCCACCAGCTCCCG